ACAGCAACAGCAAATAAACTAATGTTATTAGAACTATTAATGGTGTAAAAAAAAATAGAAAGAAAGAGGAACATAAAGCCCAATTTACTTCAGCTGACATACAGAGCATCTTAGAAAATTTATTAATTTCTAGGTAATAAAGAGGAACCTGAAAGAGCAAGACAGAAATAATGCCAAACAGCAGACAGACTGACCTCAGAACAGTGAAGAGACCATAACTGCTAATTAAAGCACAATGTTCTAGATGTGTGTGAAACACAGGAGCGGGTCAGTGGTTTTGGGGGATTTTCAAGCTACAAAAAGCAAAGGGATATTAATGCAACTGCTTATTAGAGAATAAAATATGGAAAAAAAAGCGTGAAATATATCCTCCTCTCATTAGCAGCCACTGAAGCCTCTGTTTTTATGTTGATCTTCTAACCTCTGTATCATAGAGCAAGTTTGGCAAGATTTAGGACGTGCAGTGGCAGTACATGGCAGACCAACAGCACACAGGAACTTGAGGCTTTTTTTCATGATGCATGGTGCACTTTAACAACAAGCAGAAAATACTTTAGACGTTAAAGCAGGACTCACCAAGAACTAGGTTAGGTAAACTTCTGAACATGTTCAGTTGTTTCACAACCATAGATGATGGAGAAAAAAGCATAATTAATTTTTCCAAAAAGTGACCAGAAATCCTAGAAATGCTGCTATACAGTAAACATATAAACTCAACAGTATAAATTATGAAACAACTTTTTTTTTTTTATTGAGATCATCGTTCACTTAAGTATCACAAACACCCACACCCGCTGATGGGAGAGATTGCTCTGCCGAGAGCAGTTGAAGGTTTAAATGTCCTACATTCAGGCTTGTGTTTCTAGGACAACTGCATCTCATCTGATTTTAATATGAAGGCAGGAGAGGCCTTACGTCTGTACTGTAAAACTGCAGACAGATTGTATTCACTCTGAGGAAAAAGCACCAAGAATTAAGAAACATTTAATCCGAGATACAGCAGAGAGGTCAAGATGGAGGCTGAGATAAAACAGATAGACATGCAGAGCGCAGTGGTGTTTTTTTGTGCTCTTCGGGGCAGTGTTAAGAGGAAGTACTGAAGTGCGTTTCTTTGTGCCTTAAGTATGTGTAAAAACTGAAGTTTCACACTTTATAGAGAAGCACTCTAAAAGTAAGCTGCAGTCACACCTTTTTTGTCTTGAAAAGATCCGGTGTATTTAACAGACTCTGGTTTGTTGTTTAGGGTGCACTGTTCTTGTTGTACTTCTTCTTTTTTTTCTTATCTTGCATGTATATGTATCACCAGGGAGCCTTTTCACAGTAAAAAAAAAAACAACCCTAAATAGCATGCAAAAAAAGAAAAATCTCATCTAATCCTGTATCTTTAGTGAGATATATCGCCAAACTAATAATGCGACCTGAATCGATAAATTCATTCTCCTCAAATTGATGATTTTATAATGTCCATAAAAAGATATTGCAGTCACAATAACACTGGAATATAGAAAAATAAGTGAATCAGAATGAAGATCTGTTAAAGGCCTTGAAATAAACAGCATAATGATCTAACACTGAGAGCTTACTTAATTTATTCTCCAGGAGTGAAAACAAATCCACTGTTAGAAAATGTCTTTTATAAAGTCAGTGGTTCAAAATTCAGTAGCAATCTAAATGATCCCCGCACAAACAAATGCAACAGAAACATGTATAAATCTATACTCTGTTTAA